ATGAACGTCTCCTCATCCTAAAATAGATTGGAAATAGAAGCATTCTTCTCTATGCAGATATGAAATTTATTCTTCAGTTGTGAGAGTAACTTTGACAATCCAGTTATTATCAGAAAAAATGACTTACTTAAGATCAATTAATGAAAACCCAAATTTTCATATTTGACAGATACTCTCCAACATGCAATATAATTATGTAATCATAAACATCTATATATGTTTGAACATCTAAACGTCATGAACATCTAAACATGATTATATAACCATGAAAAGCTACCAACAGCAGGCCAACTTATTTAGTCTAGCAGAAATACAGATTTCAAGAAATTTATGGTACTATAAATTTGTTCATGAGTAAAGACAGACTCGGTAAGTTTGCTATGGAATTGAAACATGCTTCATGATAACTGCTTTGACCCCAAACACATTAATTATAGAAACCACACTTTTTACCATGTGGCTTCCACATTTTAACCACAGATGGATAATTGTTCACAACACAGCCAATCCAGAGGAAGCCAGCAACCTATGACTTGTGAACACTGGTTGACACAATTACGTGATTTTCCCTGAGAATTTGAATTGCGAAGTGCAGGAACTATTGTCACACCATGGTGACGTGGGAGCTGGAAGGTTATATATGACTGGGAGCTAACAAATATTTGTCCATGAACAAACTAATAAATGAGCCCTTTAGAATCAGTATAGTGAAGCAGTGGCATTAAGAGAAGCAAGAAGCAAAGATGCAGTATCTCCTGAGAGATAAATTACCTTGGCTTCTGTTTGTTTTCCGATTACCATGAGGCCAGGATTTCTGTCCTTGCGTTTACATTATCTTAGTTTAATCTATGCTCGTTGCAATTATTAATATCACAAATAACGTGGCTAACCAAGGCCATAAAGTGACTTGTGGTGCAGTGAATTTTGATGTTAGTTTAGTCATCTTTTATTAAGGGACATAATTATAAGCACAGGTATGGAACTTGACACCTTAATTCTTAGTGATGTTGAATGTCCCTCATAGTATTTTTCAGCATACCTATTAAGACGTTAGAAGAAATTTCTCTTAGTTCTTAATACTAGATAATGCTCCTAAGCAACTGATACAGTTCTTTTTTTTCTTGTATACAATGACTTCTTCTACTTTGGATTTTGGGAAGCCGGAGTTCAAATTTGGGATTCATTTTCATAATATATCAGATATTAGAGGATGACTTTCAGTTAAATTTATTATAGCCCACTCTGTTTTTCTCCTACCTTCACTCCCCTAGAAATATATTTGTTTATTTGATTGGATATATTTGTATAAGTCATCTCAGATCCTTTTTGGAAAGAGGCAGATCAAATAATTACATAAAAGTAGAAAAATTGAGTTAATATTGAATAAATAATAGTAAATATGTAATAAACATTCACATTCTTTTCAAAAATAGTTTTATTATGGAATGGCTCTGTGTACTTTATTGCAGATATTTGTCTAAAGCACAAATATTTACCTATAATGGATACTTCTAACCTTTCTTGACTTAAAGTAACTTACAAAATTGTAACCAGTTAGGAAAAGCATTCTAGGCCTTAGAGAAAATTAAGCATCAAGCTACGATTTATGCCTGTGAAAATGGACAAGAAAAATATAAACTGTGGCATCCATAATCTTTAGTTAGTACTTTAATTTTAAAATAATATCTATCTACTGGAAACTCTTAATGTCTTAGGAATTAAATTGCTGTCACTGTTTTTTGTATGGTATTGGTTAGGGTAGAGAGTAGCTGAAGCATTCAATGCATTTTTCTTTTCTTAAGAAATGTTTAAAGAAAACTACAGCCTGTTTATTAGCTCTTATGAGTTTATAAAATGACCTCAGAAATTATTCTAAGAAGTATCTTCATAAATAAAATGGCATTTCTTAATTTATTACATATGATATGTAATGATATTCAGTTTTATGTATCCAAACATATTTTGGCAACAATTTCCTCTGAGGCAATATGAATGAATCAGGAGAAGTCATCTCCAAAATTCCTTATTACTTTTTTTTTTCACTGACCCTATAATCATTTAGCATCAGAAAAAGTTGTAAATGAATTTTCTAGCTACTTCCCTTTAGGCAAGCTTAAATATGGGACATGTGATAGTTATATTTGCTCATTCACCACTCCCTCCCTTTGATAAGCTTCCAAAAATATAAAAATACAAAAATATAAGCTCAGCACTGTACTTTAAAAGACTCCATAAACATCTAAATGTCAATTTGCTTCTTTCTTTTTTTGCACTGTTTTAGTAGCTCTATTTTAGAAATGCAATTTAGTCAAAGAATTAAGAATTTTAAAGGTGGAAGGGTGATTAACAGGGGCATAATCCAATCTGAAGAGGTTAAGAGGTTATTCAAGTTTACCTAGACAGTTATTGTCAAATCCAAGACTAAAACCTGCCTTCCAGATTCTCCATCTACAAAGACCTCTGGCTATAATATAAACATCTGTTATACTTTAATTCTTATGTTTTTAGAGGTAAAATTAAGTGATTTTTATTGTAATAGTGTATAGTGTACGACCTTAAGATAGTCATTAAATTTCTGGTTTCTCCAGTAAAATAAAATACATTGGTAATTTAAACTGTTACACAGTGGTTATTTACTGTTTTGTAAAGTATATTTTTATATATAAATGTAAAGATCATTAAAAGTGAAGATTCACAAAATTTGCATTTGTTGAATGCACACTTCGGTTCTTTCCCTTTGCTTTCTCCAAACCATGTACCCACAGAAACATGTACATCTTTGTGATCTTGTAGGATAGACTTGGCCATAGAGAGGAAGGATAGGTTACAAGAGAAGGTAAATACATCAGAATAAAATAAGATTGATGATTCAATAATTAGTTTCTATTATTATTTACAAAGAAATAGGAACTACCACCTTTAGACTAAGAATTGCTGTATACTTAGCAAGTAGGGAAATTGGTAAGTTGTAAAAACAAGTAGAAGTTGGTGTCTATCTTGCCACGTGCGTGCATGGGTAATGAGTTGCTAATCACCTAAATGGGAAGCAGGCAAGGTCATCCGTAGATGGAATCACTCACAGAGTGCCACCTTTACTGGTTGGGTGCCCCTTACTAAAATCCCGCGTCATTGAATCCTTTCATGACTTTCTCATATTTTGCAACTTAGTCTCCTAAGCTCTACCTCTTAGAGTTTTGCGTAGCTCTGTAGTCTAGGAACCTATTCCAGCTAATGCATAAACATCCTTCGATTAGTTGTACCCACTCAGATAATTATTTCACTGTGCATTAAAACTGAGAAATTTTAAAAACTATTGGAATAATTGGGAAAACTTTTTCTGAGAGAAGAATCCACTTAGCAGCCCTGATACAAACATAAATGCTTATATGTAAAGACAAAGTATAATGATTGCAGGCAGCTTTGAGCTATGTTTTTGTTATGCTAGTAGATTTCAACATGTGCTTAGAGCAGCAGTATGATTCTACTTTGACAAAATTATTAAATGGAAAAAAAAATGTATCCCAGGATTCAAGAACTTCTAATTTCTCAAACTTTTTTTTTTCCTTCTCAAGTAAGTTTTGAGGGTAGGAAAAGTAAGGAATAATTGGGAATGGATTTTCTACCATTGCAATTTTTGTAATACTCTTGCATTTATGCCTATGGCACAAGTTTCAAGCTATATGTTTTACCTATACACATTTAATTTTAAAATGTCAGAATCTGGCAAACCTGTTATGTGTTATACCTATTATTCTTTTTTTTCCCACCCTCAAAAATTATTCTCAGATTATTTATTTCAGTGACTAGTCAAAAGACTCAGTATCTCAAAGGTAACTCAATAAGACAAAGTTTTACCTTTATAAAGAATATGTTGATCTTAGCAATATTGTTCATTTTAAACTAAAGATTTAAAGTTAACGCTACTTCATAAAGTTTTGGTCATCAACAGTTTGAGGGTAGAGATATAGATAGGGAACATATTATTAATAGAGAGGAGAAGAAACTTCATCTCTTTTTTCTCAGAAACAGAAGTGTAAGAGTGGGTACAATGCTGTCGATTTGTCCTACTTTATATTATCACTTATTTAGATTTTAGTGTCCTAATCACCAAGAATCCACATTCTCTGTTAGATGCATTAGGCATTGACCTTTGAGAAAAAAAGCTATCTTCTAACTTGTCAGTATTTGCCAATAGATCCTTCAGGAATTCTTCAGCATGCAGAGTCTAGGCTTGGGGTTTATATTCTCTCATCTCCAAAGGCTCTCATGTATCATTTTACCAACCTTAAGTACTGAACTGCCATATGCAATGAAATATGTAATTAAATGCCTTCAACAAACAAATGCACACAGATGAGAGGTTTGCCAGATTCTGACTACTTACAATTAAATGTATATAGGTAAAACATATAGCTCAAAATTTCTGACATAGGCATGAATGCAAGAATATAAGCAAAAATTGCAGTGACTGAAAATATATCCCCACCAGTTTTATCAGTGATCCCTACTGTAACTGTTACATTAATGTCTCATTTTTTTAATGACACTGATAGTTTTCAGACTTGGAAAATTTGATTTTAGATGTGACTTTCAAAACCAATTTCAAGCAGAAACATTATTTTTCTGAGAGGTGTTTATTTAAATCTGATAAACACACTCTGGTGGGTTTAATGTAGATTTGGAACCGTTATACATCAAAGGAGTCATAAAATGACTTCTACCTAGTTCTTTATGTTAAAGATTGTGAAGGATGACTTTTTTTCTGTATTTAAAAATACAGTATATTTTTCTTACATATTAAACTGATGACGTTTTTAGATTCATAAATTTATAAAATATTTTAATTTGTACACATTAAAATTCATTGCCAGTGTATTTAGGATAAAATGAATGTTAACAATTTGGTTCCAATAGGATTGAAAATAGAGCTTTGAGCGAAGTGTTATAAAGGCATTTGCATTTTCTCGTGTGTTTAGTGTGCACATCACTTTGCATTTCAGAGCTTTTGAATCTGAACAGAACGGCAATATTTCATAGCCCTTTTGGATTTCTTGATCTCCATACAATGCTGCTGGATGAATATCAAGAGAGGCTCTTCGTGGGAGGCAAGGACCTTGTGTATTCCCTCAGCTTGGAGAAAATCAGTGACGGCTATAAAGAGGTATGGAAATATCAAACTGCATTTCAGTAGAGAAAGAAAAGGGGACAATTTCAAGAATGTCAAGAATGTTACTTGTCTTTTTAAAATTGTATTGACCACTTCAAAAATTTGAGGGATTACTCTATTTAAATGAAATATTCGTTACAACTGAAATCATTTTGAGGAAGTAATGTCTAAATCATGCTGTATGAACTTTTCTAGTATGACCCTGATTCCTGGATTTCCAGACACTCTTGCCTGGTGCATTTGACATTCCTCTGGCATAGTAGCCCTTGTCACCACACCCACTGTCCTGAGACCTGGCTTTGGAGGATGATAAATCACCACCAGTTCCTCTGGACTTGACTATCCCAAAGCACAAACTTGAAGAAATGTGAATATGTGGCCTCAAAATAACTACCTCATATAGTTCTGTTGGCAATATCACTAATTCAGGTGGCTGCTCCTTTAACCCGGTGAAGTAACTTATAAATTTAAAACAAGCAAATACCAACATCTTTTGGAAAAAGAGAAAAACAATCTATAATTATAGTCTATAATTCTACAAATAATTGAGCTAAATTTTCTTAGACTCCTATAAATCTTATACAAAATATATATAAATATTTAGAACATAGTATTTTTGGCATAAGTGCATGTATTATGTAATACACTTTCTACATGATTGATTTATTTTAATGTTTATGAGCCATGTCCATATTTTCTAAAGTCATTAAAAAAAATCTTATGACAAAGCATCATTCCTTGGTTTCTACTGGTTCCCCATACCTAGAGGTAATACTTTCAAACCTTTTGGTGTTTCTTCCAGTTCTTCCCTACATATTTCACAATAACATTTGCCTGCTGTTCCTTATTGATATCTTTCATGTTAGACAATATCTATTAACTTTAAAGAATATGAGGATTTTAGCATTCTTCTCTTGCAATACCACAGTTAATATCCATATACCACACTTCATCAGCAGCCCTCTCTCTATCTTCCCAAAATAATTATACCACCATGTTTGGTTAAACAGTAGTGTCTTTTCCTTATGATTAGGAAGATAGTATTTACCACTGAGCCACATGTTGTAGGTTTATTACACTTTTCCCTCCCTTTCTTCTGCCCTTATTTCCTTCCCTCTTTCCTTTACTTCTTTCTGCAATTTTCTTCTCTTGAAATTAAACATTATCCCATTTTTTCCATTTGATAATATTTTTATATTAGTTTCACTAACGTTTTGCCAAACTTTTTACAAGAGTTTTTACACTCCTCTCTAAGTAGTGAAACCTACCCTTTTCATCAGTTCCCATTGTTTGGGTTTTTAAATTGAAGGTATCCTCCATACTCCACTTGTCCTGCTAGAGCTAGCTTCACCATCACCTGGAGCATCTTCTCAGCCCCTGATTTGTATATATCTTCAGTTTCTAAGGCCCCCCCCACTTCCACCTTCCCATCTATAGTCTGCCACGTCTTGGAAGCCTGTACTCTCCTAGCTTCTGGAAGGATTCAGAGTCCAGTATGGAGTCTTGTATGTTTGCAAATTTTACTATTCCAGCTTCACACATTATTGGTAGATGGATATAAAATTCTTGGTTGAAAACCGCTTTGCTTCAGAATTTTGAGGATATTGCTCCATTGTTTCCAAACTTCTAGTATAGCTGCTGAGAAATCCTATTCTAATTTCAAAGTTTTGGATGTTACCTGTCTTTTACCACCACTGTGTTTAGAATCGCCTCTTTAATCTGTGTTTTAAAACCTTCTCATATTGCTCTTAGCATCTCTCCTTTTACAACCATTGCACTGAGACACAATGGACCTTTCTACCAGGGACTCCATGGACTTTAGCTCTAGAGAATACTCATTATTTTTGTTATAACTTTTCTTCTCTTCATTCTTTTCTTGACTTTCTTCCTGGGACTCCTCTAAGTCAGATTGTTCCCCATTTATTGTCTGGCGTTACTGCTTATTATGCACACTTTGAAACACTTCTCCTGATTTCATCCACACCCAGCCCTCTTCTCACTCTCTAGGCTTCTAATTTCTGAGAATTTCTAGAGTCTTTTTTTATGAATCAGCTTGCATATTGGCTCCTATCACCTTGCACACAGTTAGATTTCCGCCTTTCCTCGTGTGCAAAGTGCCAACACTTGCCCATATGTTTTAGAGTTTTTAAAATGTTGCTGATATTTCTTTGGCATCTACACTACAGTTTTATTTGTCCTTTTTGGATTATGTCTTTTTCTGTCATTTTAGTGGTTACAGGTTGAAGCAGAAGCAAATATTGCCTTTCACCCTATCTTTCCTTTCTTTCTAATGTCTTTATTTTCTCGTAGTTCTCTTTTGACTTCAAACATATGTACACTAATTGCTCTCTTTCACTCTTCCTCTCTCTCTCTCCATGTATATATAAAATATAAATATAGATGCACACACATGCATGCACACAACGTGCGCACACACACACACGTTCACACACACACGAACACACACATGACCTCCTGCCAGTCAAATTTAATGGGTTTTTCTTTCACTTCTTGGTTGATCTCTTTCCTACTTCAATCCTAACTAGCTCTCCCACTATCTCTTTTTCTTCTCTCTCTCTGTCTCATATCATCTAACCTGTTAAGTGTCTAACCTAGAAATCACAAATAAGGCTGTCATAGATCAATCCCCATATTAAAATTAATATGTGAATATTAGAAGAATCTACAAAAGATCTGTCATTTCAGAAAATTAACAACCTTTGCATTGAGGAAGTAGTTCTTAAATTATCATCCTTGGACCAAAATATTGTATGACTCTCATGGAGTGGTTCCCTGGAATCCACATTTATTACAAATAGGTGACTTGTGTACACAAAATTTCATAACAATTTTCCTGAACTGTTATTTCATATGTGGACCATAAGAACAAGAGATAGCAGCTTCTCTTTGTAATGTGATTTCCTCTTCAGAGCAGGGGAAATTGAATCGCCTACTCATTCTCATGTATTGTTTTGGACTAATTATACCTTCAGGACTTTAATACTAGGACGCTGGGCTTTCATGGAGGAAATGACCTGTGAAAACTATATAAGGGTAGACCTGGAGGGTGATGAGGCTTTATGAACTGCTTCTTGGGGAGCTAAATAGAATGGTATGCAGCTATTGAGCTTCAGGGTGCCATCTAGCCAGGATGTCAAGGAAAGTACTTATAAAACCTATTTAATTGAGTGCCCTATACTCCAGGGTAAATCCTTATTTTGTGGAGCTCAAAATTTATACAATTGGGGGGACTTTTAAGTAATATAATTAACTCAAACTTATAAATTTCAAAATGGTCGGCCGGGCGCGGTGGCTTAAGCCTGTAATCCCAGCACTTTGGGAGGCTGAGGCGGGTGGATCACGAGGTCAAGAGATCGAGACCATCCCGGTCAACATAGTGAAACCCCGTCTCTACTAAAAATACAAAAAAAAAAAAAAAATTAGCTGGGCATGGTGGCACGTGCCTGTAATCCCTGCTACTCAGGAGGCTGAGGCTGGAGAATTGCCTGAACCCAGGAGGCGGAGGTTGTGGTGAGCCGAGATCGCGCCATTGCACTCCAGCCTGGGTAACAAGAGTGAAACTCTGTCTCAAAAAAAAAAAATAAAATAAAATAAAAATAAAAATAAAAAATAAATAAATTTCAAAATGGCAGAGACTCCTCTTAGGTCTGCAGTTAAGGGCAGGGGCCAGGAAGGAGTCTTGAGGCTTATGATGCTTCATTAGCGCTGATGTAACTTCAGCCCCACCTACATTTCTTATTTTGTACTTGTTCTTCCTCTTTCTTTAGAATGATTGCCAATAAAATTCTCAATATGCCCTTGGAGGCTGTTTTTAGTAGCAGCAGAGTAGGAATATAGTCAACTTTATGACATTCTGCTTAAAAGAGTGAGCTAAGAAAAGGTTCAGTTCTTCAGTGCTCACCAGGCTCTGAAGATGTAATGTGTCTGCTTTGGGCCCCACCTCTCCTGCCTTGTCTGAATCCTGCTCTCTCAATTGTTTTCTTGCTGTGATTTTTTTTTTTTTAATCTCTCCTGCTTTGCTTTCTCTATCTCTGAGCTTCTCAACCTTGGTACTGCTGGCATCTTGGATAATTCATAGTTGGGGATGGGAGTGTCATGTTTATCGTAGGATGTTTAGCTGCATTCCTGGCTTGCACCCACAAGATGCCAGTAGCACCCTCCCCACAGTCATGATAATCAGGCAAACTTTCCACACTTAAATTTAGCTTACCTATCTATAAACAAGATTCAGACCCTCCCATTGAAGACACACATAAAACGCATGCCTATAGTACCAGCTACTCTGAAGGCTGAGGCAGAAGGATTGCTTGAGCCCAAGAGTTCAAGACCAGCCTGGGCAACATAGTGAGACACTAATTTTTTTTTTTTTAGACAGAGTTTTGCTCTTGTAGCTCAGGCTGGAGTATAATGTTAAGATCTTGGCTCACCTCAATCCTTGCCTTCTGGGTTTAAGGGATTATCCATCCTCAACCTCCTGAATATCTGAGATTATAGGCATGCCCCACCATGCCTGGTTAATTTTGTATTTTTAGTAGAGATGAGTTTTCTCCATGTTGGTCAGGCTGGTCTTGAACTCCCGATCTTAGGTGATCCTCCCGCCTTGGCCTCCCAAAGTGCTGGGAGTGCAGGTGTGAGCCACTGCGCCTGGCTGAGACACTCTCTAAAAAAAAAAAAGAAAGAGAGAGAGACACACACACACACATACAAACACACAAACAAACACGCACCCTTAACCAAGGATCTACCTGGTGATTACTGTCTTTCCTTCTTTCCTTCAAACCCCTTGAAAATGTAGCCAAAGCCTTTTATTTTTTTACTTTCTCACTTTCTATTTATTGCTTTGTTTTAATATCTTTTAAAACATAATATTTCATAGAGAAAAGGATATACATAACATAAATATATGAGAAAGTATAATAAAATAAATACTTGTGAACCCAGCACCCAACTTCTGAATGAGAATATCACCAATC